AGCGGAGCTACAGAAACTAATCAGGCATTTGGTCAGGATTACGGAATGATTAAGGCAATGAAATTAATATCGTGAGTCATTCTGGAGTCTATTTGGGGAGGTAGGGAGTGGGATTAGAACACATTGTAATGTTATCCAGGCGGTCTTTTTGCTTTGTGAAGCGGCTTCTTTCCCCCCACCCCGTGCCGCATCTCCTGCCACCAGCCATTTAGGAAAAAGAGGGTGTTTGCCCATCGAGGTGGGCGCTGCCCTTTCCTGGGCTCAAAATGAAGACGTCAACCTGTCAGCTGCTGGGCGGCCCCTGCGTTCTGCCTCTTGGCGCAATCCCCAAAGCATCTCCTGGCAAGGAGGAGGCCCTTCCATGATGCTCTTCTCCAAACCTCCCAGTAACCTAATCACGCAGGCGGGATTAAGTCTCTCAAAGTGGGTTCAAACAATCTCATTTACGGCCCCTCCTTAGTGCCGTCTCTTTCAACCTGAACTCTTCCTGAATCCAAACTGTGCCTTCTCGCAGCCGGGCTTTAACCAAGTTGTGCTGAGTCTGTCTTTGTTCTTCCTCTGGATTGAGGCCCGTGGGAAATAGTTTGGAAGAAACATGGGCGAAGGCTTGTTCATGGTGTGTAGGGAACGCCTTGGCCGTGGCTCTCACCCCAGGGCAAGGGACATGGCTGACATTTCACACCCAGGCTTGGCTGCTGCCAGTGACCTCAACGGGTGTGCAGGGTCACGCAGTGCCCTTCAGTTGCTCAGGCCTTACCGGAAGTCCTTGTACAGGGCGGAGTCTGTCACTTGACTTGCTGTACTGATGCTGCGGTGATTGTCCCCATGGCTAACCACCTCCTCGAGAGCAAGCCAGGAATGTAGCTGCCTTGCTGTAGGCCTACTCATGCAGCGGCCTGTTGGTTGGATCACGGCCCATGCTTCTTTTGTATTGTTTTCTTGCGTCGTGTCTCTGTTATGCACTGTGTACAAGTCAACATGTGGTGGTGACGGAGCCCACTTCCCATGCTCTTGGGGACATTGCATGAAGCACTGCTAACTCAAGAGAGGTAGACAAGATTTCAGGAAGTACTCTTACAGGCACGAGAAGGGAGCAGCTATCCCTGAGCCAAAATTGCATTCATGCACAGTGGAACTTCACCCAGGTCTTGCATAATGCCTCTGTGGTGTAATGTGTCTTTAAGATCGCTTGGAGTTGTCATGTCCACCTGCAGGCCATTAGCAGAGTGGGTTTTTATCAGGAAAAACAAATGTCTTATAAATAGACACGGCATCCTCACCCACAGTACTTAGAAGAATCCCAATCTGCCGTTCATGGGAGAACTCAGCAGCTCCAACAGCTGCCAGAAAATAACGAAACCTTTGCTCCCAATTCTTCCATCTTTCAGCCAGATTGCCTTTAAACACAAACGGAGGTGGTGGTCTTACAAAGTCCATAATTCTGACACCATGTTATGTCCACTGCCCAGGGCAGATCCAACAATGTCTCAGTCACACTCTCAGGCAGGGTTTAATCCAAAAGTACAATGTTTATTCCACAAACCTTATGCCAGAGAACACTGCACTCACAACGTGCAAACGTGCGTCAGTCAGTCAGACGACTGATAAAAACCCACTCTGCTAATGGCCTGCAGGTGGACATGACAACTCCAAGCGATCTTAAAGACACAGTACACCACGGCCCCCACGATCCACCAACCCTTTGAGAAATGCTACCCTTAAAATGAAACTATGAACCTCCGTTCCGTGTGAGGACGAGGCACCTGCATCCTCCCCAGTCCCCCCGAGACATCGTTCCCTTTTAGGGCTGAGATTTTTAAAACGTTGAATTGCATATTCCAGTTTGCTACTCGTATATCTTTCTGGTGCCGACTTGAATCGGCGACATCTTATCCATGCCCGAGACAGCTGCTTCCCAGCAGTTGCTGGCTTATAGCTTTCACCACCACTAACTGCATCGTCCTGCTCTGTTAATTTCATTCCATACATAACCCCCCCACCCAAAAAAAATCAAGACAGGATCTTACAAGAGAACAGGGTGACAGGCTGCAAAACGGCCTTAAGAGAGCGCAAAATCAGCAGCTCCTGCAGAAATCTCACAAAGGAAAGTGGATTGTGCATCTCGGAGGTTCCCCGTTTGAACTGAGTTCAAAACAGAAGGGTCTCTGTTGTGTGGAGTCTAAAGCAATGGCAAATGCACGAAATTTCTGCTGATGCAGAAACTTCATAGAATCGCAGAGTTGGGAGGGGCCCTAGAGGCCATCCAGCCCCACCCTCTGCTCGATGCAGGATCAGCCCAGAGCATCCCTGACAAGTGTTTGTTGAGTCGCTGCACAAAGACTGCCAGCGAGAGGGAGCTCACCACCTCCCCAGGCAGCCGATTCCACTGTGGCACGACTCTTATGGTCAAAAGGTTTTCCCTAAGATCCAGCCGGTACCTTCCCGCCCTTCATTTTAACCCAATAGAATAATAGAATCACGGAACTGGAAGGGGCCATCCAGGCCCTCTAGTCCATGTAAAATGTTCCGCTGTTGTCTGTGCAATTTAAACCTTGCATCCAGGCATCCCCGGGCCAGAGCCTGTTCTAGCCTGCGGCCTCCCATGTTCAGGGAGGTGGGTCTTGCCCAGTGAAAATGGGATGTTTTCCGTGCCAGGCTGCGAAGGTACAGGGGCCGGGTGTTTTCTGTACTGGGTCTGAGGACACAACTGAGATGTGGTTGTCGCGATGTCTGCAGGTCCAGGTAATCCTCAGCCCTGCCCCCGACCAGTGTCCTCAGAGCTGTGGGATGGCCTGACTGAGGCTCCTGTCTCTGGGGCCGTCCCCCCACCCCGAACAAAGACCTGCAGCAGGACCAAGGTTGGCATAGCTGGGCACCTGGAGGGTGTCTGGCCATCCAAAATCTAGAGCTGGCCCCGAAAGGCAGCTCACCCCATGTACCTTTGCGAGTAAGGGGCCGCAGTGGTCAGAGGACACCCTCTCCCAGGCAGGCGCCTCTTACCTCCAGTGATTACGTCCCTGTAATGCCACTTCCATTTCACGTCATGGTTGTGCTCAGGGGTCATTTCGTAGAAAAAGAGGTGCAGGAGCTCATTAGCCTAACTGATTAGCATTACTTATTTGCGTATGCCACACCCTCTGGTGTCACCGGAAGTCTGTCAGAAGCAACACGCACCACTAGACTGTTTTGGATTGCTAGCTATTGGGGGGGGGGGCGTGCAGATCTGTCCTCGCAGAGGAGGGAGAGCTTGTACCTGAATAAAACTTGGCCTTAAAGGTGCCACTGGACTGTTTTGGCTCTGCAACTTACCTGCCTGCTTCTTGCTCCGACTGAGGGCTGCTGGGAGCAGGAGGTGGGGCTTGTTGCATGTGCCCGCCCCCTGGACTCTTTACTGCCGGAGCTCCACTCCTGTGCGCTCCTGCAGGAAATGATCCCTGGTTGTGCCCTTCGGGTTTTTTTCAGGTAACGCCAGGCCTTTCCTGGCATCCTCCCAACCACACTCCAGGCACAGAATAGTCAGTGCATTATCGTGTGCTGAACAGAGAAGATGGAATCCCACAGGGGGTCCACCCGCCCACATAACTTCTGCTGACGGCCTCCAAGCCCAGCTTATGTTGGATTTGAGGGCCTCACCACGGGGCATTTTGTGCTGATTAACGCAATATGGTGATGAGGGCGTTTGTGAAGTCTGTCTTTCGCGGGCAGCTGCTTCATTTGGCTGAGAGGATAACGTTAGATGCGACCCTCCTCACCTCAGTGTGCCTTTTGTGTGTGCTTAAATCCATTTCCGGGGAAAGCCCTTTGTGAACCATGAAGCTGGAGAAGAAGAAGAGAAGGAGGAGGAGGAGGAGGGATTTCTACCCTGCCCTTCACTACCCAAAGGAGTCTCAGAGCGGTTTACAAACTCCTTCCCCTTCCCCTGCCCACAACAGACACCCTGTGAGGTAGGCAGGGCTGAGAGAGCTCTTCAGAGGACTGCCCTTGAGAGAACAGCTCTGACAGAACTACGGCTTGCCCAAGGTCATCCGGCCAGGTGCAAGTGGAGGAGTGGGGAATCAAACCCGGTTCTCCCAGATTAGAGTCTGCGCACTTAACCACTGCACCAAACGGCACCCTAGCACTGCCCCCCCCGCCCCCGGTGATGGACCAGGGTGCCTGGGATTGACAGTCCCCTTGGGAGTTCTCCGTTTCTTGTAACTCATGCAGAAGAGGACCTCTTTCTGTCCCACAAATCTTGTTCCCTGAGTTGCCATTGTGCAGGGGATGGTTCTGTGCTCATTGCAATGGGGAAGTATGGGGGCTGTTGAAGCTCACAGGTTATTTGAAGCAGGGGAGGAGACATTTTTTACTTGTAGGCATGTATAAAATGCAGGGGGGGGGGGGCGCGTAGGAGCTTTCCCATCCCATAAACTTGTGTCAGAAACAAAGTCCCACAGTTGTGTTCCGAGAAGGGCCTCTGAGTGTCATGCTTGGGTGTCCTCTGAGGCCTTCCGTCCAGGTTCTGGCCAGACCCACGCTTGATCCACTTCCAAGACCAAACTGTCGTCTGGCAGTCTCAGATCCTTCTCCAAGCCTCTCTTCCACAGAGAAAACCGATCCTGCAGAGGCTGCCCTGAACAAGCCAACTAAAGTTAATCCTGTTTAAATCCCATTGAAGTCAGTCATGCCTAGCTTAATTTCGTTAGCATTTAAGCACAACTAATTTTATTTGGATTGGGATCCGCGGCTTTGCCGAGTTAACTGAGCTATCCATTTTCTTTCTGCGTTATCTTTTGCTACTCCAGTATTGACTTGCAAAGTGTAAACAGAGCTTTCAATAGATAGTGGGCTTACTAAATTGATTTTGTGAGACTTTATAGGATGGTTATATGGAAAGGTTTGGAATTTACAAGTGTAGGTCGCAATAAGCTGTTATTACCACCAGATACAAAGTGGCAGGAACACGCGGCTGGCCATAGGACACTTCTCTTGTAACAAAACCCTTTTGTCCTTTTTTGCAGGGTCCAGATTTTGGCTACGTGACCAGGGAGGCTCTGTTTGAACTAGTCACCAGCCTGGACTCTTTTGGGAATTTGGAGGTCAGCCCTCCGGTGACGGCCAACGGAAAGGAGTATCCCTTGGGGAGGATCCTCATCGGAAGCAGCTTCCCCACGTAAGAGAGATTTGGGGGAACCCCACTGAGCTATGCTCAGATGGGCAGCTGAACTTTCAGTGAAAACCAAACGCTGTCGTGGGCTGTGATGCTTTCTGCGAGAGCTGCATGTGTGCTTGGGAAATCAGAGCAGTTAAAACTCAGGCCAGAAATGCTAGTAAGGACTGCAGTGAGGTGTGACTGTCATTTTCTCTCCCCATGGGAAGCCATGCAAATTCTCATTGGCCTGTGCATCTCCTGGAGAGTTGCTAATGGTTATATTTCATTGCTGGGGCCTTTCCAGTTGTTTTCATGTGCTTTGATTTGAATGTTTTATTGGTCTCTATGTATCCTTTGCCATCCTGGCAGGACAGAGGTTTTTTTTTTTTTTTGAAGGCAAAGGAAATTATAGCAGGTTCGCCAACAAGGTCCAGCAGACGGACTGCCCCCATGTTATCCAGAAAAACTGGAAACCCCCAGAGGGTTTGAGCCTTGAGCCTCCCTCCCCAATTATAACTTTCTTGACATGAACAAAGGCAAGCAGCTGGATCAGACGGGGCCTGCAGCAGCCTATTCCTATTGGACAGCTACATGCCACTGGAAAACATCCCCCTCCCCATTGTTTCCCACCCACCCACACACCCACACCCACTCTGATGCTGAAAGGAAGGCTGCCTCTGGACATGGAAGTTCCATTTGCCCCTACTAGTCATCCTTAGGCCTCTCCTCCTTGCATTGGTCTGATTCCTTAAAAGAAAAAAGCACATGATTTTACTGGCTCGGACCAAGAGTGGGTGCATCTGTTGTTCCCAGCAAGGAGGGCTCAGATGCTTGGGGGAGGCCTGTAAGCAGGGCCTGCGGGCAAGGGTCGTCCCCTGCTCATTGTCCGCCAGCCACTGTGTTGGGCATTCAGAGGTAGACTGCCTCTGAACATGAAGGTCCCGTAGAGCTACGGTCATGATTAACAGCCATTAGGAGATTTCCCCTCTTTTATGGAGGCATCTGATTTGCCTTTTAAACAGTTAAGTAAGCCTAGCAGGGGTTCTGCGGCACGCCTTGGTGTCACACTGGCTAAGCAAGCAACACAGATGTGTGAGCAAATATTGGGAAAATGAGTGCTCTCTCTCTCTCTCCCCCCCCCCCTTTGTGGGGCATCCAAAACATCAGCTGTGCCGGAAGAAGAATGACGAAGGTTGTGCGGGACTTCCTGTATGCCCAGCTAGTCCAGGCGCCCGTGGAACTCTATTCGGATTGGCTGACCGTGGGTCATGTGGATGAATTCGTGACCTTTGTTCCCATTCCTGGCAAAAAGGTGGTGACTTCGTGGCTTTTGGGGGGGGTAGGGGTGGGCAAGGGGAGTCCAGCTGATCTCCGGGTCCAGCAAACCCCACTGCCAGGGGCCAGGGGGAGAAAGGGGCACGCTGCAGAACAGATAGTTCAGGCGAGGGAGCCTTGTAAGACCCGTGCGGTCCCAGGCCCACAGACACAACCTCTGGCAGGGAAGCCGTCCAGTTCTCCTCCATCAGGGAGTTGCGCCTCAGAACACTACCGGCAACACAAGGAGGCAGAGAGTGTCATTGTACCGGCACCGTAGCCTGGAGCGTCAGGATCTCTATGCACACCGACTGCCAGATCTCCCCCCTGAAACGCCCTGGCCAGGGAGCCGGTTAAAGGAGGCTTGCTTGGCCTCGCTGGAGCAGAGTGTGGAAGCTGCCTCTCATTTGCTGCCCTCTGGCTGGGGGCCAGTCCCTGCCCTGACCTAGGTGGACGTGTCCGTTTACTGCGCATCCTCCCAAGAGTTCAGGGCAGCACCCGTGGCTCTCTCCCCGCCAGACGCCCCACCACCCACAGGCACAGAGACGTTTCCACCCTCTGCAGGGACACAATGCACCCAGGTACCAAGGCTAGCTGAATCGGCAGTTTCCTGGAGACAGGGCACCTGAGCGGCTGTAGTGCCATTTTAAAACCCTCCCACAGTTCACACGTATAATAACCTAGAAACTGTCTGTGGCTTGTCTGCAAGCCGCCACCCGCCCTCCGCTTTTAAGGGCTGAGCAGAAGAGTCGGTCACGGAATGTTCACGGCACAGTTTCTGGAAGGGAAGTGAAAGGGCTGCACACAAGGATTGTCAGCGTTTAGCAGCAGTGGCTTGACCTGCAGATATGGGCCCATAAATACTGTTTGGTGTTATTCCATGAAGAAGTATCCCCTGCCAGTTTCTGCATATCACACCACTGTGAAGGGCACCAAGAGAAGAGGATGCCAGCCCGGTTTCTCGGCTTTCCCTTGCCTGCTGGCAGCCCGATTCACAGGTCGAGTTGGGGGGGGGGGGGCAGGAAGAGCCAAAGGACCTCAGTGTTGCAGGAGGGGGTTAACCTCCTGCCTTGGGCCGGAGTCGGGTGCTGAGAGGCAAGGAGAGGAGAATTCCATGTCCTGATTTCAGCTTCCGTTTATTCTGATATGGGTCCACTGCTTTTCCTTCTCCCAGCAATTCCGGATGCTCATGGCGAGCCCTTCTGCCTGCTACAAGCTGTTCAGAGAAAAACAGAAAGAAGGCCACGGGGAAGCCGTCATGTTCAAAGGTAAGCTCCCTCCCGGGAGTGGGCGCATGTGGAAAGGAGCCGTGTCTTGCTCCACCAAATCTAGAGGCAGAGCGGGAGAAACGCAGGGGCGCACACACACACACACGCACCTCCGGCGGATCCCTCATCCATTCCCTGGGCCTTGTTGGGAGGAAGCTTGGAGCCAAGCTTGTCTGATGTTCTGAGGAATGAGGAGGAAGGGCCCTTGTTTTAGGCCCTTGTTGCGGTGGGCACAACAGATTCCTGCTTTAAAGCCCTACATGGTCTGGGTTCAGCTTACCTAAGGGACCGCCTTTCCTCATATGTTCCCCCTTGAGCACTTCGGTCTGGGACCCAACACCTCCTGGCAATGCCAGGTCCCAAAGAGGCCAGGCTGGCTGCTACCAGGGCCAGGGCTTTCTCGGTGGCGGCTCCTACCTGGTGGAATGAGCTCCCAGAGGAGATCCGGGCCCTGCAGGACCTTATGCAGTTCCGCAGGGCCTGTAAGACAGAGCTCTTCCACCAGGCGTATGAGTAGGAGCCGCCACTAACATCATCGCTATTCCATCTTTACCTGGCCCTGGATGAGGTGAACATCAGTCCCTAGAGCAGATGAGGCTGAACAGTTATAAAAATGCCATCTGATATTATGTTGAACATCTAGAGCACTCTAGTCTTTGATTGTTATGAATGCTTTTGTATTGTGGGATTTATAAATGTTTTTAAAGTTGTTTTATATTGGCGTTTGCCACTTGTAAGCCGCCCTGAGCCCGCATTGCGGGGAAGGTGGGGTATAAATTGAATTAAATAAATAAATGAATGAATGAATGAATGAAATGCACCCAGGCAAGGGGAGGGCCTCCGGCAGTGTTGCTGGGACTCACCTGTCAAAGGTGGTGGCCTTTCAGGAGCAGGGAGGGGCCTCCACTGGTGCTTCAACACAAAATACTATTCCCTGGGCCAGCGCTGCTCTTGTGAAGGCTCCTCTCGGCCAGGTGGGCAGGCCAAAGGCCGGGAGGAGCTGGAGGTGGGCTGCCACGGACATCTGGACTGCGGAGGCAGTCAGGTGGGACGGCACGTCCGGCCCCCTGGAACCTGGGAGGGGCCCACGCATTGGTAAAGGAGAGGAAGGGCTGGTTTGGGTACACCACGTTTCTCTACCCAAAGGCGTCTCAGAGCCGTCCCCTTGGGAGGCAGGCGGGGCTGAGAGAGCTCTGAGAGAGCGGTGACTGGCCCAAGGTGTCCCAGCAGGCTTCATGGGGCGGAGGAAGAGGAGTGGGGAACCAGAGGCGGTTCTCCAGATCGGAGCTGGCTGCTGTTAACCCTGACACTAGGCTGGCTCTCTGGCGCAAAGCATCCATCCTGATACAACTCTGCCTTAGCTGCAGTGCAGACTGTGACGGTCAGGGCCCCTTGGCAGGATCCAACCCTCTGAGCTCAGACGCTTCAGAGGATACTTCTTCCGCTCACGGAGGCGGAATTCTCCTGGGCACCAGACTGTGGCTACAGCAGTGAGTGGGTCACGCGCGCCTTCCAACGCCTTCACATCCGTCCTGTGACCATTTTGCTGCCTAACAGCTGTGCCATCTGAGTGGGTCACACCTCTCCTTTGGACGGACGGCTGAGAATAAACCGTGACCTTTCCTAGAAGGCCCTCCTTCCAAAAGCCACAGGCCGCCTCCAGGGGGAAGGGCCCCCACCTGCTGTGCCTGCTCCTCGCCCTCCCGTCCTGCCTGAGACCCCAGGCCCCCCTCAGTGGCATGGAAGGGGGTCCAGGTGGGCATGAGGCTGGGCGATTGGACCCCAGGGCTCCCTAGCAGCTCTTCAAACGATCTTGTGGCCACACAGAGTTCCATTTCAGATTGGGATTGGGGTGTGGGGGGGTCCTCCTTCCATCCCCACACTCTTGTTGAAACCAGCCTCTGTTCCTCTGGGACTGGTCCTTTTTTCCTCCCCAGGTTAGCGGCAGTGCAGCTGGGATGGCTCTGGTGGGCAAAAACAAGCTGGGAGGAAGAATTACGCCCCCTCCTCACACAACTCCAGTGTGGCTGCAGTGCAGCTTCCCAAAATGCTGGGCAGGTCTCTAAGCGTCTCAGCCAGTGTGACCCGGAGAGGCAGCTGTGTGCAGACGCAGGCGGAAATTCATCCGGGCCCGGGCTGAAGGTGCTCAGCAGGACAGCTGGAGGGAAAAACCCCGTCTCTCCGTGGCAGCTTCAGCTGGGGGGGGCAGCTAGGAGCAGCAGGGGCCTCCCAAGCCCCCTCAGCACCCACCGGCGGACAGCAGGCCGCCTCCCGCCACTCCAGCCCGATGCGTGGGCAGCCTTGTGACTGCCGATGATCGTAGCAGGTGGTGACATGTCATACGCTTGATCCTTTCCCACGTGCAAGGGATCATTTCACACCAAGGTACTCGGGCAACATGTGAACCGGGCCGCGGGCCTGGAAGTGCTGGGGGATACTTGATCCAGACTCTGTCTGGCCAGACGTCCTTCACTCCCTCAAGTGAGAGCCCGTCGTCCCCCACCACGCTTCTCTAGCCAAGCCTCTCCTTCCCTCGTGGTTGCCCCCTGATGCCCCTCGGCGGCTGCCAACATGCCAGCTCCACCCATTTCCTTATGCTTGCCTGGTGGCGTGGCCCGCTTCCCTGGAGAAAGGAAGCCACCGCCCGGCAGGTTGCTGGCTCGCACCTTTCTCTTGAAGACAGCTTCCTTCTCCGTCTTGACAGGGTATACTGGGACAGACACAAAGCGCGTCACCATTAACAAGGTCCTCTCCAACGAGATCATGGTGCAGGAGAACCAGTACGTGCAGGTAATGCGCTCGTTTAATAGATTAATATCCTGTGCGCTCCGAAACCTGCCCAAGGCAGGAAGAGAATATCTTCACATTGCCACAGTGCCTGGCCTCTGTGTCAGTCACAGCAAACTGCGACAATGTCTTTGTGTTTTAATTTGTAAGCCCAAGTATTTGGGGGGAGGCAACGGGAGAGTTAGGCTCCCTTTGCTTTCCCTCTGTTGGGATTCCTTTTGAGTAAGTCAGCAGAGTATTAAGAGACTGAGTCCATGGTGTGTATTAAAATATAAAAGTTTACTATAAACCTAACATGGGAAAAAGGTACACAGGATATGAAAATAACAAAGAGCTAATATGGCTACATCCTTACAGCTAAAAGGTAAAACGGGAAGAGCTGAATAGCATCTCCTTCTCTGGTCAGAACAAAGAACGGGAGGAGAAACCAATACGCTAAATACCGGACACCTTGGTTTCCAATCAGACTAGCAAATTAGCCCCAAAGTTCCCAGGCATTCTGTTGTCTAAACAAATTGGTTACAAACAAACATGTGACTTAACAAACATCATTAACCCTGTAAATACTAAAGTGTTTTGACTTGTAACACCCAACACCCTCCCACTCACATATGATGAAAACCTAGCTGAGTTATTTAAACGGCTCAGGACGAAGCTCCCTGAGCGCCTGGCGAGGGCATTTCTTGCACTTTTCGAGACCATGATAGCAAAGGTGGGTATTTAGGTACCCAGGTAGTTGAGTGGCTACAGTCGGAAGAAGTGCACACACCTGCGTGACAGCCAAGAGAGAATACCTCTACGGGCAGAAGCAGTTTCTGACAACAGGAACAGAACGGGAGGGCAGAATTGAGCGATGAAACGGGAAGGGGGGGGACGATGCCGGTGCTTGGCCGGCACCCACGATTCAGGTCGTTCGCTCACAGACTGTCTTCCTTGGGCTTCCCCAGCGCTGCATCGACTGGAACCGGGACATCCTCAAGCAGGAGCTGGGGCTGACGGAGGAGGACATCATCGACCTCCCGGCCCTCTTCAAGATCGACAAGCAGGGCAAGGCGATGGCCTATTTCCCCAACATGGTGAGCGACACGTTCGTTCCCCCACCCCTCCCAGGGCTTGGCTCGGTCAGCGCATCATCTCAGAGGCAGACTCCTCCGTGGTGGTGGCAGCAGCGCAACTGCCGATCCACACTGCGGGTTTTAGAGGGAACACACCCTGGGTGCTGAAACCAGGAGTGGCACGAGAGAGGAATGCCCGATGCGTAACTCCCCCCTCTCCCCCACTCGGTCCAACAGTTCTTCAGACCAGCCACAGTACAAGAGGGAGTTGCGTGTACTCACGGAGACTATGGCCCAGTCTGCATCTAGCATTTGCTCTGCTGTTTTACCAAACCCACACTGGAACAGAAAAAGATGCACCTCACAACCACATTCAAATACCCCCGGCCAACTCCATACTGACTGCAGAGTCACCCCTGAATGGCCATAAAACGGCCATAAAACTATCCAGACGGCTACCATAAAAGCGAGAGATCAGACGGTGAAAGCAGCCTGCAGTCTGGACACTGCCATCAAATCTGAGGCTCAATCAGAGTGAAAGTCGCCTGCAATGCAGAGGGGAATTTCTGTTCCAGTGTGGGTTTTGGTAATACAGCAGAGCAAATGCTAGATGCAGATTCGGCCTATCTCGGGATTCTGGGCACTTCAGCCCTTTATGCTTATGGGTATGGGGGGGGCAGCCTGCGAGGTTCTGGGAATCCTCCTTCCAGGCAGAATTTGAGGGGCATTGGAGGCTGCCCTTCCGCCGCCGGGTGTTGACTGGCTCTCCCTGGCACCCTGAGTTGGTGTGCGTTGGCTTGTAAGGGGCTGGCGGCCCCATGGCAGAGCGGCAGAGCTCCCACTTTGCACAGTGAAGGTCCCCGGTGCAGCCTCCAGCCATGACTGAAAGGGCCTCCAGCGAGTGGGCTGCGCACAGTCTTGGGCTGAGAGGCTGGGCCACCGAGAGTGGACCAAGGTTAGGAGTCTGCCAAAAGTCCTTGCCACTGGCAAATCCTTTCAGGCGGTTTCTAAAAGCCACACACACACACACACACCCCAGTGTCCTGATTCCGCCGCTTCCTGCTCCCTAAAACCGGCCCTCGCTTTCTCCCCCCTCTGGTGCGCAGGTGAACATGATTGTGCTGTACAGGGACCTGGGCATCCCCAAGCCGTTTGGGCCCATCATCGAGGCCGAGTGCTGCCTGGAGCAACACGTCTGCTCCCTGCTGGACCCCCTGGGGCTGACGTGCACCTTCATCGATGACGTCTCCTCCTACCACAAGCACCTGGGAGAAGTCCACTGTGGCACCAACGTCCAGCGCAAGCCGTTTTCCTTCAAGTGGTGGAACGCCGTCCCCTGAAAGGCCCAGGAGCTGCGGGGGACAGAAGCGAGGAGGAAGGCTGCTGCAGTCAGAAGCCGAAGGGTGGACTCAGAGAAACGGTCTCCCCCCCCCGCATGCGTTGACCTGTCTTGTGCCGTTCACCATCGCGGGGGCCTCGGATCAAGTGGAACTGCTTCCCTCCTCCCTGCACGGAGGACTCTGCCCCCAGCTGTCCTTGAGAAGCGGCCCCGTCAGTCGCAGCTGGTCTTTTTTGAGGGGTGTGTGTGTTGTTCTTCAGAATCCTCCCAGAGAAGCTTCTTGGCCTTTCGTTTTGTTTCTCTGTTTACTTGGAGATGGATCCGAGTTTGTGAGGGAGCATTCTGGTGCAGTGTGGGTGTTTGATGTTGTGTTTCCCTGTAGCCCTGCGCGTGCCGTGTGTGTGTGCTCTGTTTTGCCCACTAGGCTGCCAAAGGGCCGTTTCCCTCCCCCCCCCTTCTTTCTCTTGCATGTGGCGGACCCAAAGGCCATTCCATAGTGTGTGTGCACAAAGCGCGTGTGTTGGAAGTCGCGGCAGCTGGAGGACGTCTTGCTGGTTTGGGGGCATTATACCAATATGGGTTTTTGGAAACGGTGGCACAGAAGCTGCTGGGTGGGTTCAGGTGGCGCTGACTTGAAACGGTAATAAAATGGGGAGAGTGCTGGTTGGCTTCCGGGCAATAATCTGTTCTGCGTGGTGCATGTTCACGGGTAATGTGAGTTCTTCAGCACACCACTGCACCAGCAGTTCCTTTTGCACACAAATGCACCCACAAGCTAGCTTCCTTTAAAGTTCACACTGAATGCAAGAGGATGGTTGTGAACTGAGCAGGTCATAAGAACATGAGAAGCCAGTGTTGGATCAGGCCAAAGGCCCATCCAGTCCAGCACTCTGTGTCACACAGCGGCCAAAAATACCAGGTGCCATCAGGAGGTCCAGCAGTGGGGCCTGGACACTAGAAGCTCTCTCACTGTCCCCCCCCCCCAAACACCAAGAAGACAGAGCATCCCTTGCCCCAGACCGAGAGTTCCTATAAGAACAGAAGAGAAGCCAATGTTGGATCAGACCACTGGCTAGACCAACACTCTTTGTCACACAGTGGCCAAAAAATACCAGGTGCCCTCAGGAGGTCCAGGACCCTAGAAGCCCTCCCACTGTTGCCCCCCCCCAGGCACCAAGAAGACAGAGCATCACTTGCCCCAGACTGAGAGCTCCTAGCTATACCTTGTAGCTAATAGCACTGATGGACCTCTGCTCTAGATGCGTATCTAGTTCCCTCTTGAAGCCGCCCAGGCTTGTAGCTGCCACCACCTCCTGTGGCAGTGAATTCCATGTGTCACTCTCTCTTTGGGTGAAGAAGTACTTTTATCCGTTCTAACCCAACCACTCAGCAATTTCATGGAGTGCCCACGAGTTCTTGCACTGTGAGAAACGGAGAAAAGGACTTCTTTCTCCACTTGCTCTATCCCATGCATAATCTTATAAACCTCGCTCATGTCACCCCTCAGCCGTCATTTCTCCAAGCTAAAGAGCCCCAAGTGCTTTAACCTTTCCTCATAGGGAAAGTGTTCCAACCCTTTTATCATTCGAGTTGCCCTCTTCTGCACTTTTTCCAGTCCTATAATATCCTTTTTTTGAGGTGTGGTGACCAGAACTGCACACAGGTCGCATTACCCGAAGCGCCACAATTGTCCACACAAATGTTTTTTGGGAGCATCGTAGATACCAAGAAGATGTTCAGGGTGCAAGAGCTGCTGAGACTCCGTGCTCCCTGCGTTTGACTCTCGAAAGCTCATCCCCGGAAACTCTTGTTCATCTCGCAGGTGTTCCTGGATTTCAAATCTCACTGTTCCGCTGCAGACCAAATGTTTTTGGGAAAATACCTGGGAAGACACAGCTGAGGAGCTGGAAACCTGCCTGCTTCCTTCTGGGGAGAGCGGTGCCGCTGAGCCCCCCTTTTCCCACTGCAAAGAGGAGGGCAGCATTCCTCAAAGGCAGTGGAAACGGGCCCCAGGAAAGGCATTCTCCGCAGGCACCCACGTCATGAGCCAGGCGCTCCAACAGGCGTATCAAATGAAATGAATCGGGGATATTGGATGAGAAGGCAAAGGGGAGGGCTGAGCAGAGAAGGGCCCAGCTGCCGCCAAACCCGGGGCAGGCGCTTCGGCCGGGTCGCCTCTGACAGTAATGCCACTTACATGGAGAGATGGAATTAAATTTAGTCCCACGTCTCCCCAATGGTGATAAATGGCCTTCGTGGAGTGAGACTGCTGGTATCGACATACCAGGCAGAGAGCAATTTGTGATGACGCTGCTGGCCTCTCTGGGCAAGCGCCAGCCCTGGGAAACGGGAGAACCACCCCTGAGGACGGGCGGCATAGCTTGGCAGGCTTCAAACACTCCTGCCTTTGTTGTGGGTGCGGGTAGGGTTACCCCTCCAGCCAACGCTGCAGCAGGTGAACCGTCCTCAGCTATGTAAAGCACAACAGCAGGGCCCTGGACCTCTCCCCCCCCCCCCCCCCCCCCGACCATCCCACTAGCTTGGGGATAGTGAAGGAGAGAGAGAAGAGTTATACCCCATGGCCCTTCACTACCCGAAGGAGTCCCAGAGCAGCTTCCAATCTCCTTTCCCTCCCCACAACAGACACCCTGTGAGGTAGGTGGGGCTGAGAGAGCTCTTTCGAGGATTGTCCTTGAGAGAACAGCTCCGAGAGAACTTGTGACTGACCCGAGGTCACACCAGCAGCTGCATGTGGAGGCGTGGGGAATCCAACCTGGTTCTCCCAGATTAGAGTCCGTGCTCTTAACCACTACACCAAAGTGGCTCCTAACCACTACACCAAACTAGTCAAAAAAAAACCCCACACACACACTTGTGGAAATCAGCTCCCAAGTTTACCCACACCTAGTTTTTCTCCCCACTGGAGGGTCTAATTATGCTCCTCAGTTTGCATGAAATGTTGGCCAGGGTCTCCAGCCAAAGCAAGGAGAGGCACAGAGCTGGCACACGAGGCGATGGGCCATGCAGATGAGGTGGGTCTCTGCGGTCAATGAGCGGGGGACATTGTTTTCCCCCGGTGGATTTTAACCTCTGCTTGAAGAACAGCGAAATTAGCACCTCTCCACTGTAATGCTCCCTCTAAGCTGTGGAGTCCTGTGAGCAAAAATTCTACTTTGTGAGCTCCTGGCACTAAAGTTGTGAGTGAGCGATTTGGCTGCTGCATAAATTAGTCTGCTCTGGAGCCCCATCTTTCCTGAGCGAAGACAAAAATCTGTGAACTGGAGGCTAAAAAACTGAGCTAGCCCACACTAACTCAGGTTAGAGGGAACCCTGCTCCACTGTCAGAGTTGAATCGTTTTTATTGATGGATTTAGTGCAGCGGGGTTTTTTTTGCTGTTTTCTTCCCTGAAGGGACCCCAAGCGGCTTACCAAAAATTCAAAACCCCGGAAACAAGACAAAGGTCACCTAGACGTGGGCTAGTCCTCGTCCAACAGAAGCCACGGCCAGGCCAAGAGTCCTTCAGGTGCGGACCTCTGGCCCCGGCACCTTCTGTACCTGCAAGGCCAGGAAAAGAAACTCCATGCACAGGAGCTCGGCTGCAGCAATCCACAGCAGGAGGTTCCACGGACTTCTCCAAAGAACGTCCAGAAGCTAGCAGGCACCCCCTCTCCTCTGCCTGGGCTTGGCCTTACAGTGAAGGTGCCCAGAGGTTGCTACTGAGAGCCAGTTTGGGGTAGTGGTTAAGTGTGCGGACTCTAATCTGGGAGAACTAGGTTTGATTCCCCCCCTTCTCCTCCACTCGCAGCTGCTGGATGACCTTGGGCAAGCCGTAGCTCTGATAAGAGCTGTTCTTGAAAAAGAGCAGTTTCTGTCAAGAGCTCTCTCAGCCCCACTTACCTCACAGGGGGGGCCTGTTGTGGGGAGGGGAGGGGAAGGGAAAGGAGTTTGTAAGCCGCTCTGAGACTCCCTTGGGTAGTGAAGGGCCATGGGGTATAAGTCCAATCTCTTCTTCTACTGATAACCAGGGCTTGCTTGGCAGAAGCTGAGCTCGCCTGTTCTGCAAAACCACTTGACGATTGCTCCGCTGTAAAGCTTGCTAGCCACCCACTGAAGTGGGAGATGACGCGATTAAGGACTCTCTGAGTAGAGAGACAGAAGTTCGCTCCTGCGGGCAGCCTGGAAGAGTTGCAGTGGGCTGCATCTTTGCCTTTAGCATGTATCTGTACTAATAATACAAGGACCCATCTGCCGGTCAGTCTGTCTGGGTAGGCGTAGCTCATCAGAAAACAAAGCCAGGAGCCTCGCGACTGGCCACCAGTGTCAGGATGATCAAAATGAAAGGAATTGGGACGACCTTTCTGATTAGGCCCAAAACCCCACCCCACCCCGCTAGTTGCAATGGAAGTGAAGGTGGTCTCCTCGGGGCAGGCATCCATAACTCACCAGAAAATAAAGCAACAAGTGTCCGAATTGGCCACCAGCTTTAGGATCGTGACAGGATTTGAAATGCCAAAAATGAAGGGAATTGGAACGCCCTGCTGGCACAGAACAGCCCCAGAACCAGTGTTCCCTCTAAGCTGAGTTAGTGTGAGCTAGCGTGCAGTTTCTTAGCCTCCGGCTCACACCTTTTTGCCTTAGCTCAGGAAGGATGGGGCTCCAGAGCAAACTGATTTATGCAGCAGCCAAACCGCTCGCTCACAACTTTAACGCCAGTAGCTCACAAAGTAGAAGTTTTGCTCACAAGACTCCACAGCTTAGCGGGAACATTGCCCAGAACACACCTCTGTTATTTGCAAGGGAAGCCAGGATGCAGACGGGGGTGGTGGAAAACATTCCCTCTGAGGAAAGAAAGAGGGCTTGTTTAACAACAACTCCTCTGAGTTATCAGACCCCGTGCGGTGCTGCGGTTAGAACATCAGACCACGATCGAGGAGATCCAGGTTCGATTCCCCGGGGAAGCTCACAGGGTGACCTTGGGCCAGTCACAGGATCTCAGCCTAACCCTACCTCACAGGCTTCTTGTGAGGATAAAAGGGAGGAGGGAAAGATAAGTTGGTTTGGTCCCCCCCCCCATGGGGAGAAAGGCCGGACATGACGCCGGTTAGAAATCTGATTTTGGCTCCAGTCCACGAAGGAGGATCACTTTCGCTGCTGTAGCAGCAGCAGCTCTTTTGGCAGGAGGCAGAACTGCCCATTCAGTATTCCAGCGACCATTAAATATTGCCAGGGCAGCCAGCCACAGGAGGGGGGTGGGGGGGTGGCAGCAAGTGGAGTGAGCGAGCGGACAGGCAGAAGAGGATCTAAACGGAGAGGTGTGACTATTGCTAAGGAGGTGTGGGGAGGACCTCTCCCTTGCTCTCTCTCTCTGTCTCGCTCTTTTTTAAGCCACCCCCCCCCCCAAGTGGAGAGGGCCGTCTGCTGCACTAACCCAATGATAGCTGCCCTCCCCTGGCTTGCCTGGGAAATGAAATGCTGAGGCTTGAGAAGGTACGCCGGCCCCTCTCGCTGGAGAAAAACCCGGACGCCTGCTTGTTGTGCCCTTGAGCTCCCTTGGCTGCTGTGATTTAAGCAACTGCCCCCCCCCACCAAAAAAAGGAGAATGCGGCACCTCAGAAGCCGCCCCTGTTCTCCTTCTGTGCCAGGAAAAGACCCACTGAATTCCTTATTATTAATACAGGAAACTTCTGCGCCCTGCCTTTCTGTTATAAAAACAGCACTCACCGTGGCTTACAGCAACATACTGGAAAAGATTAAAATAAAAACTTAAAAACTAACAAAAAAGCAGGAAGTCAGCAAGAGCTAAAAATAATCACAAAAGCAATAGTTAAAGAACCAACGGCAGTCAATACGAAATATCAACCCGTCAAGTGGCTCTTCTTCGTGGGAGCGCCTTTCGCATCTGCTCGCCAATCAGGAGAAAGGGGGAAATCTGTGTCCACTTTCGGCTTTGGCAAGCCTCGAATTCCCACTCCAAGAAAGAGCCTGCGGTGGCGCAGGCTGTTAATGCAGCCTGCCTTAACATCTGGCCGAACATCTGTTCGAGCCCCACCGTGGCCGGAGTGAGCTCCCGGCCTGCGTCCCAGCTCCCGCCCACCCAGCGGTTCAAAAGCCCGTTAAAGGGCGAGTAGATGAATGGGAACCTACCCTTAGTAGGGTAGGGGCACCCCCCTCGTCCGAGGAGTGTGGTGTGCGGCGGCAGCAGCGAAGGAACAACAACAATGGCCGCGACGGTGGCGGTGACGGCGGATCCTGGTGGCAGAGACGAGGCGGCGCGGCGGAACATCAAGAGCCAGTGGAGTGATCCCTGGTGGCCTGCGGAGTTCCAACAGAAAGCGGCCGGCACGAGCAGCAGAAGGTGCGGATGACGTCATCTCCCAGCGCGGCGGAGCCTATGGGACGGAGCCAAGGCCGGGAGAACTCACACACCGAGACGGCTGCCTCACTGGAGAAGAACTGTGCCGGAGAGAGGAGCGTCCTGCCGACCAAAGGAGCCAAGGAAGCCGAAGCCGGAGACCAGAAGGAAGAGCCGATACCACCGGGGCGCTAGGTAGGCTGACCCAACCCCTGAGAATGTGCCCATAGTTAGGGATCCATAAAAGTGATTAGCACTACAAAGTTGTAAACCGCCCAGAGACCCCCATTGGGGGGGTTAGGGCGGTATATAAATTGAAGGTTAAATAAATAAATTAAGGTTAAAAGAAGAGATTGGATTTATACCCCACCCTTCACTACCCAAAGGAGTCAGAGTGGCTCACAAACTCCTTTCCCTTCCCCTCCCCACAACAGACAGACACCCTGTGAGGTAGGTGGGGCTGAGAGAGCTCTTGACAGAAACGGCTCTTTTTCAAGGACAGCTCTTATCAGAACTACGGCTTGCCCAAGGTCATCCAGCCAAGTGCAAGTGGAGGAGTGGGGAACCAAACCCGGCTCTCCCATATTAGAGTCCGCGCACTTAACGACACCAAACCTTAGCCGTGGAAAACATGCATGTTAGTGGCAACACTAGATAGACTTAAAGCCACATTTAATTAAATCTGTTTCAGCAAAAAATCTGCAAGGGCTTCTCCGCTTTCAGTGAATCCTCTTCTTCTTTCCGTCTTCATGAATTTGACTATAGAACATTCAGTCTGATTGAGAGTTCCCAAGAACTCAAAAGTTTGTTTTGTGTCATTATCGCTGGTCCTGACAAAAAGACATACTCCTGTTGCATTTCATTTTTTCCTTACGGGCCAACCGTCTACCTGCCATTTTCCTCTGCACCAAGTCAGTTTTATCTCTGATCAAGTCCTCTCTAGGCAAAGAGCTCCATCTGCAGTCTCATTTGCGGAAGGAGAAAAACTGAAGGAAGCACTCCAGGGGTTTTCTGGCAGGGAAAAAACACACCGGAGACTGCCTTGTTCTCTCTTTCCACAGCCAAGTGGAGGCCAACGCAGCCTTTCTAAATCAGCTCAATTTTGATTGTCACTGGACAAAACCAACACCATCCTGGCTTTCAAGCAAGCAACTGAATCCAAAAACGGAGAGAGGTCTTTGTTCAGGCCGGCATCTACACACAACAGGACAAAGCTCTGCAGAGCTCCAGTTAGCAGCACCAGTCCTGCTTCTTGTCAGTATAAAACCAACCCCTTCTGCCTCTGCTTCCCCCTCCACCTCTCTGAGCAGAGCAGGGGCGTTCGGGATTCTGGTACTGTCACGAGGGTAACTATGGCAGCCCGGGCATGAAAATCGCCCTTGCCACAGCGATGAAAGCACCCCAGGGCCTCGGCAGTCGGGGGCTCAGCACAAAATGGGAACGAGGGCAAAGGGTCTGGCCGTCTTTCCCCAAGAACCAAAAGCCCTCCAACAGGCCCTAAAGTACACGAGAGATCCCGTTCAAATCCCCACTCAGCCATGAAGAGGAGAAAGAGAGGAGGAGATTGGATTTATGCCCCGCTGTTCACTTGGGAGTGTGGCTTACCCGTCCCCTCCCCACAACGGACACCCTGTGAGGCAGGTGGGGCCGAGAGAGCTCTCTTGAGAACTCCCCTTGAGAGAACAGCTCTGAAAGAAGAGAAGGAGATTGGATTTATGCCCTGCCCTTCACTCGAAATCTCAGAGTGGCTTCCAATCTCCTTTCCCTTCCCCTCCCCACAACAGGCACCCTGTGAGGCAGGTGGGGCTCAGAGATCTCTTGACAGAAACAGCTCTTTTTCAAGGACAGCTCTTATCAGAACTATGGCTTGCCCAAGGTCATCCAGCCAGGTGCAAGTGGAGGAGGAGTGGGGAATCAAACCCGGTTCTCTCAGATTAGAGTCCGCACACTTAACCACTACTCCGAACTGACCTTGGGCCAGCAGGTCACTCCCCTTCAGCTTAATCTACTTCAGTGAATTGTTGTGAGAACAAAATGGGGAGGGAATAAGGAATAAACAGACAGAAACTGCAAGTCTCTCCCCAAACTTGATAAACAGGAGTCATGTTCTCTTTGCCTTCCCTAGAGCCTCTAAGGACTGAACAGGCCAAAACTATACTTCTGCAAGCGTGAGGAAAGAAAGAAGAAAATGCCAGATGGCTGGATTTCCACTTCTTGTGCTGCTGTTTAAACAATCGACGTTCTGTCCACAGGAAAAAGTTAGTAAGCCAGCCTCATCCCGAAGGGAAGGCTCGGATTTCCCTTTCACAATCTAAATGGAACATATTAAGGGCAGAAGTTGGCCTGTCGGCCCCCGGACCCTCCCCACTCCCTGAGAAGCCAACTCACCCCGTGGGACAGAAGGAGAGGCCAAGGCAGTTTTATGTCCCTTTTTGGAGGAGGAGGAGATTGGGTTTATACCCAGCCCTTCACTCAGAGCGGCCTACAAACTCCTTTCCCTTCCCCTCCCCACAACAGGCACCCTGTGAGGGAGGTGGGGCTGAGAGAGCTCTTGACAGAAACGGCTCTTTTTCAAGAACAGCTCTTATTAGAACCATGGCTTGCCCAAGGTCACCCAGCCAGGTGCAAGTGGAGGGGTGGGGAATCAAATCCAGTTCTCCCAGATCAGAGTCCACGCACTTAACCACGACACCAAACAAAGAACACAGCAAAGCAAAAGGACAAACAGCTGAGCCTGGTATTCCCAACTTCCAGTTTATTCCACTGTTTTCCCTCACCCCACCTGCAATAAGCATTTTCTTTTTCAAAAAGACCCTTTTAAATTGGGAGTCGACCAGTGTACCCAAATGAGAGAAGACAAGTCTTCATTTTGCACACAGCCACTGTAACAGCAAGTAAGAAGGACGGAAGTCTGTATAAATGCACATGGACCCGTTTCCCAGGTATGCCAGCGGAGAGAGAGGTGGACAGTCGGTACATGCAGATGTGCAGCCCCGGCTGCCGCTGGCAGCCCCGCAAAGCTGTTCTTTGCCCCCTACTGAAGCGCTTCCCTGCCGGCCCAACCCAGCCCACCCCCCACCGAAGGGCAGGCTCCCTCTGCCCGCCTCCTGGCTGTTCCCTCAGCACCCTGATAAAGCTCCCCCTTCCCCAATGACTCCCACAGAACCCCTGGCCCTCAGCCCTCTCCCCAGCAGCTCTGTGCCGTCAAGAGCCACGGCCCTTGCGGGGGAACAGGAGCCCTCAGATGCGGACGGTGTTGATCCGGAGCGGCTGCACATTTTTGCCGTTTGCGTGGCTCTGCCCGGGGCTGAAGTAGGAGCAGAGCTTGCCGGGAAACCGCTCCCGGAAGGTGTAGAGCCAGGACATGTCGTCCGCGTTGTAGAAAATCAGCAGCCCCTTTTCGAAGTCCAGGAAGACGCCCACCTTCTCCAGCTTGCTCTTCACATTCAGCCGCGTCCAGGGCTCCGTGCAGGCGCTGTACTGGTTGCCATCGTGCATGACGATGCAGTAGAAGCCGCGGCTGGGCTGGATCTGGATGCTGCCCCTGCGGGTGACGGCCTCGTGTGCCAGGCCGATCATCCACTGCGTCTTCTCGGAGACCACCACCTCCCAGTAGTGGACGCCGCTGCCAAAGGCCTCGGAGCCCAGCACCGACACCTCCACGTCAAAGCGCTTGGGGGAGTCCTGCAGGGGCTGAGGGTGCAGGTTGCCGTAGGCCACGATGGTGCAGTCGTCGGACAGGATGAGGCGCTGGTGAGCCGTGGCGGGGTCCAGGGTGAGGGCGGCTGGCACTGCGGCCCAGGAAGGAGAGAGGGAGGGGATTCAGAGCAAGCAGCCACTGCCACCGGGGGGAGGGGGGGCTTTTTTAACCTGCTGCAAGGACCCTTCACACACACCCACACCACCCCCCATCAGAGGCAGCGGAGCCTCCACGGAGCCACAGGAGGGCGGCAACCTTGGGAAGCTCCTTGGAGAGGGGAGCAGACCGTTCCAGGGAACACCGACACAGAAGGCTGGTTCCAGCCCGAGTCTACACTGAGCGTGACGACAACCCAGCTCTCTTTTTGTCTTCTAAAGCATTTTGCTCACTCTGAATGTACAGCATGAAGCTGTCCCAGGACTTTCTCAGTTCTTCCAATGGAAGAATTGGAAAATTTGGGGACTGGAAGAGAAACTTTGCACAATGTAGATCAAGGTGGGTAGCTGTGTTAGTCTGAAGTAACAGAACAACGTTAGAGTCCAAGGCACCTTTAAGACCAACAAAGTTTCATTCAAGGTGTGAGCTTTCGTATGCACATCTTTGAATAAAACTTTGTTGGTCTCAAAGGTGCCACTGGACTCCAACTTTGCACAATGTAGACACCAAACATTTTCAAGAATTTCTTTGATTAAGCGGAAATGCTTTTGGCAACCATTAATATGCTACAATGTTTTCAATTATAACACATTATTAAAGACGGGGGTGTTTTCAGAGTTACAAATTTTAACTTAATATCCAGCCGTGCTGCTGCTCCTAACCAGCTGCAATGAGACAGTTTCTCTTCCAATAATATGTCCTTTTTCACTACAGAAATTGTTTTCTGTCTCCCATTTTTATTTTTCCAGCTTCTCAGCTGGCAAAAACTAAAGGCCCCCGTGTGCTGGGAGCAGAGAGTGCCACGGTCTTCAGCTTGGCCTCAAGTAAAATCAAGTAGCACAGATTGAATAGAAAAATGTTTTCCCTTGAAACAATGGTGTTTGCTAGCCCCTGGAAAGGCATCTCTGCTCAGGGACCGGCCTTTCCCCAACACAGATGCAAGTGGTGCAGGGCCCTGGACGCAGTGTTCCCTCTAAGCTGAGTGACTGAGAGCCAGCTCACAGCTTCTTAGGCTCCGGCTCACAGGTTTTTGTCTTCGCTCAGGAAGGAGGGCTCCAGAAGAGCAAACTAAATCTATGCAGCAGCCAAATCACCTGCTCACAACTTTTAAGGCCAGTCGCTCAGGAAGGAGACTTTTTGCTCACAAGGCTCCACGGCTTAGAGAGAGCATGGCCCGGCAGGGCTTTCCAGCCCGGGAGGAGCCCCACTCACCTGGGTGGATGTCCTGGAAGAGAGACTTCCAGATGGTGTATTGCAGCGGCCCCATGTACTTGGAGGTGGGGAAGTCTTCGTACGTGAGGTTCGTTTCATGGATCTTGCCCTTCAGCCTGCAGGAAGGAGCAAGACAGCCCGTTCACCACAAGGCCCGGCATTTCACTCACCACCCGGGGGGTCCCTCGCCGCCAGCCCCCAGGCTCAGGCATCACGGCCTTGACTTGGACCGCCCCACAGTGGAAACTTCCCTCTCGATGAGCACCCTGTTGCCACGCCCCCCCCCGGCCCACACCTACCTCTCGGAAAGGGAGCCGATGCCCGCCAGGAAGGTGTGCTTGTCCGCCTCGGCCAGCCGCTCCTGGAGGATCTGGCTACCCTCCTGCACCTTGCGCAGCTGCTGGCTGTAGCGCTGGATCTTCTGCTCGATGTCCGTCAGGGTCCGGGCGGTGTCGGCCTCCAGCTCCTCCAGCATGGCCTTCTGCCGCTCCCGCAGCAGCCGGTGCAGCCGCTCAAAGGCCTCCCCGATGGTGGATCGCAGGCTCTTGGCAGAGGACTGTGCGGAGGGAGGAGCACAGGCCGGTCACAGCGGGGGGGCCCTGCGCGGGGCCAGAAAACTCCCCCGTGGTGCCCCACCCCAGCCGGCCCCGTGGCAGCCCCCAGAGGGCTCAGAGGAGGAGACAGAGGCGGGCTCCTGTCACTCATACCTGGAGGCCACGTCCGGAGCTCTAAGAGGAGACCCCAGACACCCCGAGGGCCAGCCTGGCCTCTGCCACACGCTCAGTTTCTATGCCCTTTGGCAAGCCAGGCTCGCGGGCTCAGGGGAAATCACAACTAACTGATTTTACAGCAGAGCTGAGCAAACGACGGGAAGAACATTCCTCCCTTTTGCTCACTGCCTTGCGTCACTCACATGAGCGCTTAATTAAGGGAAGAGGTTTGATTCCTTCATATGTTTCATTTGTGTTTAGCTTGGGCGCTTATGTTGGTGGATCTTGGATCGTAACAAATGAAATGAGTATGTTGTCGAAGGCTTTTACGGCCGGAGTTCATTAGTTGCTGTGGATTTTCCGGGTTGTATGGCCGTGGTCTTGGCATCGTAGGACCTGACGGTTCGCCAGTAACTGTGACTGGCATCCTCAGAGGTATAACACAGAAAGACAGAATACTCTCTGTGTCAAGGTGAGAAGAAAATGGTAGGCATAATACTCTCACCTTGACACAGAGAGTATTCCGTCTTTCTGTGTTATACCTCTGAGGATGCCAGTCACAGTTACTGGCGAAACGTCAGGTCCTACGATGCCAAGACCACGGCCAGACAGCCTGGGAAAAAGTACAGCAACAAATGAAATGAATGTTCACCCCCCCTCTTATGGCACTTTGTAAGGAAAGAAGGCAGAAGAAGAAGAGTGGATTTGTCCAATAAGTGCAAGATAAGCACCCATGTGGTAGCATAACTGGGCTGTGCGTTTGCCACAAGAGGAGACGGGCAGTCGGGAACCCCAGAGACAGCCCAGCTAGCCAACTGCAAAGCGACTCTGACACACCGCAAATTGCAAGAGGTGCCTTGCTGTGTTGGAGCACAGGCCCCTTTGGCCTGGCGCACTGCAGATCATGTGCCAAGTGGGAGGGGGGCACATAGGCGGATCCTTTCCCCCTCCTCACCTGCAGAAAGGAGCCGGGAGCCCCAAGCAGGGAGGGAAGGGCTGCCACACACTCTGGCTTCATCCTCCCGGCAGGAGTCTTTCTCCTGAACACAGGCCGGATTCAGCCTGCCCACCACAGACGAAGCTGCCAGTGTTCTTCTCGCCCAGCCCAGCAGAAGGGCCCAGATGTGGCCGGTCCAGCCGGCCCCCCAGCACCATCCCCCGGGCCTTACCTTGGTCTCGGCCAGCTGGCGCTTCAGGAGGGCCAAGGCCTCGGTGTGGCCGCGCTCGCTGTCCTGCAGCGTCTGCAGCTGCTCCTTCAGCTCCCGCTGAAACAGGCGCAACAGGCAGGGCGTCAGGGAGCCCCGAGGCCAGAGCCAGAGGGGCCCAGTCCACGCCAGGCCTAATCCGCCGGTGGAACTCCCTGCCACAGGAGGGAAGCGCCCGGCCAGCGCCCCTTCCTCGGACCTGGAGCTCGTCGAAGGCGTCGTCGAGGCCGGTGACCTGGTGCTGCTCGTGGAGGGCGGGCTGGTCGCAGAAGAAGCAGACGAGGGCGCGGTCGGCGAGGCAGAAGAGCTTGACCTTGGCGTGCTCCTTGGGGCAGGCGGGGCCGGGGCCGGCGGGGCGGCGGCGGGCGCCGAGGATGGCGTCGAGGGGGAAGGCGGCGTAGCGCTCGACGATGTTGGCCAGCTTGAGGCTGGGCGCCAGGGCCGGCTCGGCGAAGGAGCGGCGGCACTCGGGGCAGTCGCGGGCCGCCTCCTGCCGGCTCCAGTGCTCCGCGATGCAGCGCCGGCAGAAGTAGTGCTCGCAGCCGAAGCTCACCGGGTCCTGGTACAGGCTCAGGCAGATCGGGCACACCAGCTCGTCCTTCAGGCTGCTGCACGACGACGCCATCTCGACCCCGCCCCCGCCCCGGACCCCCCACC